TTCAGAGGAAGCAGATGGTGGGGGAGGAGGGGGAAGGCTGGGAATACTGCATGGTCATAGCTGACTAACCTATGGGCGCATACTCTGATTCTGAGAAGATTCTAGAGCCCCTGAAACTGCCTGTAGGATAGTAAGCAAAATATTTCAGGGGAAGTTGACCTCATATCTGAGGCAAGTAGAGTTGGAATAGGGCAAAGCTTTCTCCCCCACCCCACCCTACCTCCAAAAAAAACACTGCTTTGTACACAGCTGTTTCTAGGATAGAAATACGGTCATATACAAGAAGACCCATATTGAAACTCTATTCCTGAGCAGAGAGACTTTCCCCAAAGGGTGGCCTCAAATCAATAAACCCACTGAGAGACCCTCTAGGCACAATCAAGATCTGACTCACCTCCACACCAAACCAGGTCCCAGGCACCTAATCCGATGAGTTTTTCTCAATAGGAGAAAACAGTGACAGGGCCCAAGATTCTATGAACTGGCTTAGAACCCAGGTCATGCACGTATTGCTTGTGGGCAATAATCAACAGTTTTCTATAGTCAGGCCCTAACCACCATCCGGGAGACTTGGCCAGACAGTAGCACTGACCTACTTTCCTCCCACACTGGGAATCAGGGGTTATCTTGCCCTTATTTGGGTTCTATAGGGATGCAAGGCCAGGGATAGGGATCAGAAAACTTCCCAAAGCAACAGGCCAATTACTTTTATGTTCGAGGAGAGCTGGTGGAGAAGGGGGTGTGGACCACCAAACCTTACTGAGTAGGAAAGGATGAAAGGTTTGGTGAGAAGATTCCTGGAAACAACAGGGATGGGTACTAGAAACGTCTGCTGGCTGGAGAACCATGATATTTGTCCCTCAAGCCTTGTGGTTCAAAAGTTTTTAGGGTCAAAGTGTAAAGGGCAAGGGTTCAGAACTTCTGAGGTATAGCTGTGGCTAGGCATCTCTCACTGATAATTTCTAATACTTGATGTCTTTCCCTCTATGGGGATTCCTACACCTCCACACGCCCTCTAACAATTATTAACACTGCATTAGACGGGGTTAAAGAAAAGGAATTTCTTAGAGGGTCTACAGTCAAGACCACCTTTATCAAACATCCCAGTAGTTCTTTTTATGGTCTCCTCTCCATAGCCCTCTGAACATCACTGCTCAGGTGGCTCCTCCAAACTGACCCCAGACCACAGCTTGCCCACCTTTTACATTGAGGGCACACTCTCCTGAGTTGGGGGCATGGAATCTCAGCCATGAACTCCGAAAATGGAGCAGGAGGCAAGAGGAAGATACACCTGCTCCCCTACGGCCACCCCACCACGGCGAGTCTTACTCCACAGGCACGTCCCAACCTGACCCCTCTTCTGAAAGTTCTAGATTTGTGGGAGGGGGCATAGAGCAAGCCCTAAGTTCCCTTAACTGGAACTGACCCTAAAAGGTCAGAGTCTTAGCACCCATAGGGGCCCCAGTCCTGGGATGAGGGGGTGGGGTGGGCAGGAGAGCCTCTGGGAAAATCCACCTCCCACAAGTAGGTTGGCAAGTAGGGCAGGACCTGTGATCCTGCACAAGAGGTGCTCTGAGCGGCACCCCAGACCCCTCCCCGGGAAGATAAGCCAGAAGGATGATGGGGGGCAGGGTTGGAAGCCTGGAAGGCCAGGGCTCAGCTACCCAGGCCGGGAGAACAAAAGCTGAGTTGCAGCCGCCTCTGCTGCTGCCGGCGGCCGAGCTCTTTGTGACACTTTGTTTGGGACGCAGAGAGGGAAGCACCCCCCATCCTCTCCCCTCCCCCACCCCTGCTCCCAGAGAGTTTGGGTCCCTTCTCCCTCCTCCATCAGCCCTACCTGGGGAGGGGTGGGGGGGCGGCCATCCACTCAGGCTCCCGGCTGTGCAGCCCTGCACCCCAGGCCCCTCGCGCCCTGCCTTCGGGCCCCTACAAAGACGGCTGTCCCCG